CGGTGTTGCGCCCGCACCTTGCTCAGCCAGTGAGTGGGAACCGGTCTGTATGTGGGATCCGAACCCTCGGCGGGAGCGCCGCCGCGCTCCCAAGCGGCGCACTGTAGCAGTGTGCCACCGGGCCGGCCCCTATAAATTTAATTTTTATCACTGATTAAAATTTATCATTGATTAAAATTTATCAGTGAAGAATAACCCCAGGGATTATTCTTCATTGTCTACCATTACCATAAGTGGGTTAAAACCACACTTTTAAATTTAATTTTTATCAGTGGTTCTCCACTGGAGGGAGATTTTGCTTCTCAAGGGACATTTGGCAATCTGGAGGACATTTTTGGTTGCCACTAGGGAAAGGGTGCTACTGGCATCTAATGAGGAGAGGCCAGAACATCCCTCCCATAGTAAAGAATTATCTGGTCCAAGGTTGAAAAACTCTGATCTGTATTATTAACATTTTATCCGTACATTTTTAAAGTTTAGACAGTCAATGAAACAATAGATCAAGCCCAGATTTGCAGTGTTTGCTGATTTTTGTGGTGTAAATACTTCTACTGTGATAATAAATTTTATGTGTCAACTTGACTGGACTAAGGGAGGACCAGATAGCTGATAAAATGTAATTTCTGGGTGTGTCTGTGATGTTTTCAGAAGACATTAGCATTTGAATTGGCAGACTGAAGATCCTTTCTCACCAGTGTGGGTGGTCATCATTCAACTGAGTACCCAAATAGAATAAAAAGGTGAAGGGAAGAGTGAATTCTCTCTTCTTGAGCTGGCCCACCCATCTTCTTTTGCTCTAGGACGTTGGAGCACCTGGTTCTCACTCAGGCCTTTGGACTTCAGGACTTACACGAGTCCCTCACCCCCTTATCAGGCCTTCAGACTTAAACTGAATTGCTCCACTGGTTTTCCTCATTCTCCAGTTTGCAGACGGCAGATTGTGGAACTTCTCGGCTTCCATAATTGTGTGAGCCAGTTCCCATAATAAATCTCCTCTTGTAAATATATATACCCTAGTGGTTCTGTTTCTCTGGAGAATCCTGAACACATGACCAAAGGATGATCTCAGTTAGCTTGAGGTTCGATTATTACCATGATATGTAAACAAGCCAGAACTCAGGGAGTAGAAGTAAATTTACCCCCAAAACGCCTGAAGTGGATGTAGTTGTTAAACTTTACAGGAAATTTAACGGGCCAGCAATGAACACCGCCCTTTCATCCTATACTTATGAGCTGGTATTATTCACGTTTCTCTTAATTCTCTAGTACATTAATATTGGCAAGCAAGTAACTTCTGGAACTCTGATTCAAACTTGTGGGCCTTGCCTTAATTAACATATTGAGGTGTTCTATGAGGAGGCTTTTGGACCTGAACTAGCAGGTACAAACGACTACAACAATTAAACGCGCAGCATACGGACCTCAACAGGATTCAGAAGACCAGGGTTTCAGTCCACGTTCATTTGTACCCCTCTACCAAGGCGCGCTGCCGGAGGGCGCCGCCAGGGGGCGTCAATCTGTAGCCACTTCACCAACGACGGGTGCCCCGGAGCGCTCTCTACCCTCTCGCTTACCTCACTTCCGCCGGAAGCGGCCGCCTCCGGTTGTTGTCCTTAGGTGTTTGCGCTTGCTGTATGTTGTGGGTTTATGGCTCCTGGCCGGGTGAGGCCGGGTTCGAGGAGCGGGAAAGGGAAACTCGAGCTTACAACCCAGGCAGCGAGATGGACATTCTGAAATCAGAGATCCTTCGGAAGCGGCAGCTGGTGGAGGACAGGAACCTGTTGGTGGTGAGGATCCTGTGGTCGTGGGGGTTGGGGATCAAAGAGTTGTGTGTTGGGGGGCGTCGGGGGTGCGGATGATGGTACTGAGAGGATTCGGGGCGGGATGGGGCTTAGCCCTACTACTTTTGCGAGGATGCCCCTTCTAGGTGCACCCTTTGATACCTCACTGGGGACCCTCAGAGATGGAAGTTGTGGGGATTGCAGAAAAACCCAAGATTTTGGTTATTCCCGCCCCCCCCCCCACTACCCCTGTTTTCCTCGCAGTTTATCTAACTATCCCTATATCCACTCTCTTCCATCGGTATTTTTCGGACATGCCCCAGTTTTTCTGATAGTTCACTTCTGTTGTCTTACTAAGGATTTGATCCCAATTGAAACACAGAGGAAGGACAGCGTCAGAACTCTTTTAAAAGTTCCTATTAGTAAAACCCAATCTTAATCTTATTCCCATTTCTTCCTCTTCCCCAACACATACAAAGTCTGTAGTTGAGCTCTTCACTGATGGGGAAGCTAAGACTTCTGGAGAGGTACTAAGAAAGAGGAGAAAGCGGGTGGCCGGTTAGCTCAGTTGGTTAGAGTGTGGTGCTGATAACACCAAGGTCCAGGGTTCCATCCCTGTACCCGTCAGCGCCAAAAAAAAAAAAAGAGAGAGAGAGAGAGAAAGAGAATGCTGATAACACCAAGGTCCAGGGTTCCATCCCTGTACCCGTCAGCGCCAAAAAAAAAAAAAAGAGAGAGAGAGAGAGAGAAAGAGAGAAAGAATTACGTATGTAATTTAGGAACTTCCTAAATTGATCTCTGTTACTTTATCGCATAATAGTAACATATACCAACCGGTTCTCAGAGCTTTGGTCTCAGGACTCCTTTACAGTCAAAAATTATTAAAGGTCCTGAATGATTTTGTTTATGTGTTATATCTATTGATATTTACTGTATTAGAAGTTCAAACTGAGAAACTTTAGAAATAAATATTTCCTGATCATTTGTAAAATATTGGTTCACTGAGTTATGCAGGTCTCCCAACTGTTGACACATTTCACTACACAATATAAAATAAAATCACATTATTTAATGTCCACTGATCTCATGAGAAATGTCTTTTTAAGCACTGGGAAATTGTTAAGCTCATGATGGCAAGTCTAAGTTTCCACACTTTTAATTTTTACCTAAAAGCTGGAATTTTATCATAAGCAGCAAATATTGTCAGTTGTTTCTCTGAAATGATAGGCTCACTTTGTTCAATTTGAGGAAATTGTCTGCCAGATACCCAAGTATTAATAACTGTAGTGTGTTAGGTATTCTTTCAGGTAAAAATGGTATTCCATGAAAAAAGCAGCTAGTGTTGTTTGCAACTCAGTCACACAATTGCTTTTCCTCCAGACAACCAGCATACTTTGGTATAAATGAGAAGTGCTTTATGCATACTTCTTGTTTTGTCACACAGTATTTAAAAAGATGTGGTTAGGGATCAAGAGTTAATAAAATTAATAGTTTTACTACTACATCAAGGAAATTGTTAAGTGAAACTGGCTCCCTTCGAATGCAATAACAGTTTAGTACCACTGCCTTGATTCTTGATAAAACTTCAGCAAACTTACCATTGCTTTTCACCCACAGTGCAAATGTCATCGGAACGAACAGGCAAATATTACCTTAGTATTCAAAATAGTTTTGACCTTCAGGGGTCTTCTCGAAGGGTCTTCAGAACATTTGATTTAGATCTTTGGATGTAGAGTATGATTGATGTATATGATGTAGAGTAAGTAAGTTAGGGTTTTAGCTTGGTGGATGGCAAGTTTCATAATCATTGAAACTTTAAAACAATTAGAAAAGAAGCTAATTAAATAGGATGTTATTTAGCAGGTAAGGGGGGAAAAGCTTGTCCGTATTTGTAACTTAATGTTTTTATGTCTACTTCAGGGACCCTTTTCTTTTGATGAGTAGTTTGGGAGTATTTTACAAAATGAATTTAGGGGTTGGAGTGAATAATTCATGTTGAAATCTAAGTGCGTTAAAGGGAAAATTGAATCACAAAATGCTCAGCTCACCCTCAGGGTTTACAGCCTGCATATTTGCATAATCAGGTTTCTTTATCATGGAAATTGATCAACCTATAAAAATTGTCAGTTAAAAAAAAACTTAGTCTCTTCATAATTATTTTAAATTTATCATATAAACTGTTTATATAATATGATAAAATTTATCATATTATATAAACTGTTTTCCTGGAGTGTCTTTTTTTTTTTTTAATATGGTAGTTGATTTAATTACTTGGATAATCCCAGCCAGCCAGAAGATGAGACTGTTTGGCGCAATCATAGAGCAGTTTAGACCCACAAAGGGCATACATGAAATGGGAATTAAAATACTGAAATTCATAGTTTCTATTAACAGTAATCTGCTAGGCATTGTGCATCATGCTTCATGTGTGATATTTAATTTGTACAACAACCCCATAAAGGTAGTGTTATTCCTATTTACAGATGGGCAGACTGATACTAAGAGAAGTTACATAGTTTATAGGATCACACAGCTAGCAAGAGGCAGAGTCGGAATTTGAATCCTGGTCTGTTCTGCTTCAAAGCCTGCTCTGTTAACCACCACAGATAGAAGGTTTATTTATATTCACCTTACGAACGTAGAACTAGTTTTTATAGAATAGAAGAATTGAAGCATTTAAAAATTAAATCGAATGTGACTTGTATTTTTCAAAGTGCTATATTATGCTCTCTCCTTTGAGCTTCACAACTCGAATTAATGCATAAGGCAAGTATTATGCTGTCTTCATGGATGATAAAACTGAGACTTAGAGGATTACATGATTTTTTTTCATACTCCTGTGGCCAGACAGGATAGATCTTAAGTCTCAGATCCAACTTATGTGTGAGTGTTCTTGCATGATATCAGAGAAAATATATAACCAGATATCATGTCATATTGTAAGCCTGGGAAGACAGCCTTTTGGTTTGCGGCTGTATAATTTTATACAGAATGGGTTGCTTTATAGCTTTTATCTTTCTTCATCATAGTGTCTGTCGGTAACTTTCATACTTTTTTCACCGCCCCATCCATAGTAAGAAATTAATTTTTATGTTTTGATCTGATATATATGAAAAAATTTTCATGAAATAATTCTTATCACATCTATGTATGATTCTATCACGTTGTATTGTTGCCCATTTTGTTTCGTGTGTTTTAAAAATGCTTGTTGGGGATCAGTATATTGTTGTCATTACCGTATCTGCAGCTGGAAAACAGTTGTCTATGTGTTGTTGCTCTTCTGGAAGAGCCAACTCACCTTTGGTCATTTCAAGTGGGGTCCCAGCTTTTTATTGTTAATATGTGACAGTTGATATAGTTAATAGTTATCTCGTTTTTCAAACTGTGGAAAAGCTACTAAAATATCCTCTCACCTCCCCTGGAATGTCCTGCCTTGTGTAACTATTCTGAGGTAAATGTTGTGTCTGCATTGCTAAAATACCAACAATTTGGAGCCCAGTATCGGTGAGTTTCATTTAAGGCAAAGCCTCATTTATGTGGAAAACAGTGCTGCTCTAGGAACTCAGTGGGGAGTAATTAGTAGTTTTACTAGTTGTAGTTATGAGGATGAGCTTTGTGTAGAATTTTTGCTTTTTTTCCCCCTCCCTGTATATTTTTTTTTTTTTTTTTTTTTTGAGGCTGGTCAGTACGGGGAACCGAATCCTTAACCTTGGTGTTACAAGGCTGTGCTTTAACCAGCTGAGCTGACTGGCCAGCCCCACCCCCAATATTTATTGAATGTTTTCTATATGTGGAATATTACACTGTGTCATAGAGAATTAAAAAAAGAAAAAGTGGTGCTTGATCCTTTTCTTAAGGAACATGCCTTCAATTTTACGGAGAAAATAAAAGTCAACAGGCAAGAAATGCCTCAACTGTTTCCCTGTTAAAATAGATGAGGTATTGGTTATATGTTGGGTCAAACCTTCCCCCTACTCTTTGGATCCCAACTCATCTTTTTTAGCATCATCTGGAACCTTAATATTAGTTATCCCCTTTCTTCCTTCTGTTTTCAGTCTCTGGCTTATCCCCATCAGCGCTGAAACATACACATCTCTCCTATCTTTAAAAAGATATACTCTATATATTAGCAACTGTTTCTGTTCTTTACACCCAGCTTCTTAAAATAAATTCTAATTCTCACTTACTCCTTAAGCTGATACACTCTGGCTCCTGCCTCTGTCATCATTCTGAATCTGCTCTAATTAGGGACACTAGTGACCCCCATGTTTTGTTAATTCATCTCACAGCATTTGACACTGTTGAATGATCCTCTTCTTTTACTTGTCCCTTGTCATCTTTTCCACCACAGCTTCCTATTTTTCTGTTTCTCAGGCTTCTTATTCTTGATCTCCCTTAGAGGCTACTGCCTTTTTTTTTTTTTTTTTTTTGGTCCCTAATGTGTTGGTTTTCCTTAAAGTTCAGGCCTAGATATTTTTTCTTCACACTGAATAATTTTTTAAAAAAATCTTATATTCACCTATATGATTTCAGTTACCATTTGTATAGGGGGACTTAAATGGAGCCTTTGAATAGATTTCTGAGTATCCACCAGCTCCTTGCAATTTTCTGTAAAATTTAGCAAGTGTGCATGTACATGCTCCTCTTCCTCTCCCCCTGTTTATGATGTTATTAGAGGGACCTTTGATTCAAAAAGGTTAAGAACTAATCATTTCTGTGCTGGTGACTCCCAGATCTCTTTGCCATTACCCCCTCTTACTGTGTTCCAGCTCTACTGAAACTTTTTCATTTTTCGGTTCTTTGAACTTGCCTCTTTTCACTTATTTATCCCTTTACTTGAAAAGTCTTTCATAATCCTCTCTAACTCCTCTCTTTTGGTAGTAGTCAGTGAGGACGCTTTGAAAGTTTCTTGTCATAGTGAAAAAAACAGTGTTGTAGGGAGTTTGTTGCCATGTTGATACCATATTTTGACATTTGCTGCAAAGCAGTTTTTCCCCCTCAATGTTTTTCTATGAAAATTTTTGGATATACAACAAACTTAAAAGAATTGTGCAATGAACACCCATATGCCCACCACCCAGATTCTACAATTAAACCTTCAGTTAACATTTTACTATATTTGCTTTATCACAGAGATCTCTTTCTGTCATTCTATGCATTCCTTACTCCATCTAGCAATGCAGACACTACATCTACCTCAGAATAGGTATACCAGGCAGGACATTTTAGGAGAGGTGATAGGACGCTATTTTGGTGGCTTCTTCACACTTTGACGTAGAGACCTGCATAAGCTAAATATTAACTATTTCAGCTATCACAGATTAGCAGTAAAAAACTGGGGCGCTACTTGAAATGATCAAAGATGAGGCTACTCTTCTGGAACAGCAATACCACATAGACAAGTGTTTTTAAGCTGCAGATCAGGTAATGAAAACAATTTACTGTTCTTTTTGCATTTCAGATGAAGTTGCAGACATCAGTATACTTTACCACTACACAATTTGGCATTCATATCATCAACTAGAGTTCAATCTTTGTTTATACTTCTTTTTGTATGTATGCAAAAATTTACATACAAAGAAGTACACAAATCTTAAGCATACTGCTCAATGGGTTTTGACAAATGCGTACACCTAAGTAACCCATTGTGTATCAAAGTACGTAATATTACCCTCACCCCGCCTTCTAGTCAGTCCCTGCCCAACCACACCAAGAAGCAACCACTGTTCTGATTTCTTTACACTCCTAATTTTGCTTGCTCTGGAACTTCATAGATCCCACATAAATGGGATCATACTCTCTATTCTTTTATGTTGAGCTTTGTTTGATCAGAATAACGTTTTGAGTTTTATTCATGTTGTTGCGGGTATCTGTTGCTTATCCACTTATTGCTGAGTAGTATTATGTTGTATGAATATGTTGTAAGGCTGCCGCATGGAAAAGGAACCAGAACACTCAATTGAGAATTTAAAAGGGGGGTTTTATTGGCTGGCCGGTGACTGTTCCTCCAAGAAAGTCTTGGGAGGAAGCAGCCCTGAGTTTAAGTTTAAGGGGTCTTTTAAAGGCACATAGTCACACGGGCAAAAAATCATATAGTCATACACTTATAGTTATCATATAGTTACACACACACATACATACATACATACCCTCCTCGCGTGAGGAGGGGGTTTGGGGAGCCCTAGCGCAAGGTGATAACAGAAGCTGAAAGAAGCCAGTTAATCACTTAGGGATGGCAAAAACTTTCACAAGGCAGTTTCCTCCTTAGGTTGTCTAGATACATCCAGATACAGTGCTTGGTTTTATCAGTCAGGGACAGCATAGGTGGGAAATAGCAAAGGCAGGCTAATATTTAGTTTTTAACTTCTATCAAGGTGGGGTGGCTAAAGAGCCGAGGGGGATTTTTAAACAATAGCATTTTTTTAAGCAATTCAAACACTATTTAAACTTAGTTAATCTATCTTGTCACACAGCAAGCAGTTTCACAGAAGCAAATTGCGTATGTTATGAAAGTGGGGGTCACCCTATCTCAAATACACCCAGCTTGTTTATCCTTTTTGCTAGTGATGAGTGCCTGGGCTGTTTCTAGGATTTGGCTGTTATGAGTAAAGCTGCTGTGAACCTTCTTAAACAAGTCTTGTGTTTTCATTTCTCTTAGGAAAATGCCTAGGACTAGAATTGCTAGGTCATAGAGTACGTGTATGTTTAGTTTTATAAAAAGCCGCCAAACCTTTTTCCATAGTGGCTATACCATGCTACACATCCACCAGCCATGCGAAAGAATTGGGTTGCTCTACATCCTTGCCAGCACTTTGTTTCTAATTTTAGCAGTTCTGTTGGATGTGTAGTGATATCTCATGATGGTTTGAATTTGCATCTTCCTGATAATTGATGATGTTAAGCACTTTTCAAGTATTTTTTGGCCATTTGTATATCTTTTGTGAAGTATTAAAATCATTTGCATATTTTTAAATTGGGTAAGTTTTTTTTCTTACTAAGATGAAGGAATCCTTTATGAATCCTCTATAGTGGTCCTTTGTCAGATACATATTTTGTGAATATATTCTTTCATACTGTGGGTTGTCTGTCCATTTTCTTAATGGTATCTTTTGATAGGCAAAAGCTTTTAATTTTCATAAAGCCCAGTTTGTTACTTTTTATAGTTATTGTTTTCTATGTCCTGGGGCTAGTTTTGTAAAATGTCCTGAATATGTTTGATTGCTTCCTGGCATTGCCATTTAGCTTATTCCCCTCTCTATTCCCCACATTTAACAAGAATACTTCATAGGTGGTGCTGTGTACTTCCTATGGTATCACATAGGTGGTGCATAATCTTATATTACACCAAGCTTGATCAGTGGGCTCAAGGGTCGGCAGCCTGGTCTTTCCGGTGTCACCCTCAACCTTTCTTTTTCTTTTTTCTTTCTTTTTTTTTTTTTTTAAAGATGACTGGTAAGGGGATCGTTATTAACCCTTGACTTGGTGTTGTCAGCACCACGCTTTCCCAAGTAAGCTAACCGGCCATCCCTATATAGGGATCCGAACCCGTGGCTTTGTTGTTATCAGCACTACACTCTCCCAAGTGAGCCACGGGTTGGCCCAGCCTTTCTTGTAATGGTTTTAGCATCCGTCAATCATTGCCGGAGTGAATGAGCTTTGGAACTATGAGGTGTTAAGTACACATGTAGAGGTATTATTGACGTATTATTATATAATGATGATTAATAAAGTAGGGCAGTATCTTTATTTGATCAAATACAGGCGTGGAGATCAATGTGTGTATTGATCTCAATCAATGGAATAATATTTAAGAGGTAGAACTGCAGATTTTAAAAAGCCTCCAAATTAGGGACTATAGATTTAACAATGAGGATAATTTTATGTGTAGTGTGGAAAGACCTAATATCTTTTTAGCCACAGTAGATTTAGAGCTTAATATCAAATCGTAATATCAAATATATTAAAACATTTTTAAATCATCTTTTTAATAAAAAGTTTTGCCAAGACTGTTTTGTATCTAGATTATTTTAAGAATTGATTGATACAGTAAGATTCGAGATGATGAGAAAAAATTTAGATACTTTTGGAGCTTTCTTGGTAATAGGATTACAGATGTTGACTATATATGCCATAATTTTTGTTTGATTGTTTCTGTTAGGAGAAAATAATTAAAGTATATACCATTTTATATGGTTTTTAATGAATCTATTTGGAGCAGTTATCTTTCAACTCAAACATTAGGAAATTAAATTAGAGTAACATGATCATATGGAAAATATTGTTGGTTTCTTCTCTTTGCTCTTGGGCATATCTATTAAAATGATACTGCAAGAAAAATACTTCGATATTGATCACACATCAGTATCCAGATCCTTGGTGGAGGAGGGGTGGCATGTTTGGGCAATCAGTGTATTCATCTCTGGAACCAAAAAACGTTTATTAAGTCCTTGAAAAACTGAAGAGTGTTTTCAAAAGATTTCTAAAGGCACTCATTGACTATGGGACATGAAATTTTGCCCAATATTATATTAACTTATTTTTTTTTCTTTAATAGGAAAATAAAAAATATTTCAAGCGTAGTGAACTTGCAAAAAAAGAAGAGGAAGCATATTTTGAAAGATGTGGCTACAAGGTATGAATGCCTGCTCTTATGTTAAATTGTGTATTTTTGAGTTTAAATTTATACAGCTGTTGTTAAATGACAAATTATTGATCTCTGTTCAATTTATCAATGTTATACATTAGCCTATAAATGAGAAGCCATCTGGAGAGGTATGAGTTTTTGTTTTTGTTTTGGCTTTTTAAAAATCTTTAATTCAGGAAAATATGTGCATGACTTTTGGCTTGGAATGGTTTGGCTTTCTGTGGACAGCATGAAGTGGCTTGAGATCAAAGCTTGAAGTTCTCTTTTTTAAATTAATCTCTGGATCTGATAGTGCCTTATTTTCATCTCCACCACGACACCTCCCCCACCTCTCCCAATAAAACAGTCTATTTTGAAAGAGTTTAAAACATTCTATTCATTTAGCAACAATAGTATTAGCAGTGGTATTTTCTCTACTTTCTCCTGAATACTTTAAGCCATTGATTTTATGTTTGCATTGTTAGTAATGGTTTCTGGGTCTTAAGTACCTCTGCCTGAAATATAGCATCTTATATATTTATATACTTTTGTTGTAGTAAGGTATCACATTTTCAACACTGCTTAGTCTATTGGGTAGAAAATATAATACTGAAATATTTCTTAGAAACAAATGAGTTGTCTGGAAGACATTGCTTGTATATTTTAGAAGTATGACTGAAATTATCTTTGAAATTACCTAGTTAATGACATATTGGGGTTTTTATTGGGAAGGGTTAAAGGGTATGGAGGTGGAGAAGTTATGTTTAAGTTATTTTAAAAGAAGACTATGTATAGTTTAATAATTTTTAACTCAAAATTAAGAGGTTCTATCAAAATACTTTTCCCAAATCAGAAATTTGAAACCAAGTTTTTGCTTGCGAAGCATTGATATAAAATAATACTCTTATGCATGTAACGGGGAAAGTTCTAGGAATTAATTTATCTGGCATAGCATTTCTAGAAGGAAGCATGAGGAATGCAAATGGTATGTATTTGCAATTGATTTTATTTTGTAATGTTGAAAGAGGGCAAGTTTTAAAGAAAAAGGTAGTTATATTTCTGATACGTTTTTAAAATACAAAAATTTATATTTGTATTCTGATAATTTTCCATGAAGGTACTGATTTCTTTTGCTTTAAGTTTAGGAAATTAAACTAAGTTTTATGTAAATAATGATTGAGTACAAATAGAAAGAAGAGTTCTCATTTTTTGTTGCCCAACATTGTCTAACTCAAACTTGATCTGGAATAAGAATCACTTACCAGAGATTTAGTGTGCTGGCTTGTTTCATTCCCAGATCCCTAAGTTTGAACTTTTTCAATTTTTTGATGAGGTAGGATAATAATTTAATACAGTGGCAGTTTTTGCTTTGTTCTGATTGTCTCAGTAATATGGAAGTGCTTTTTTGCTTACATAGAGGAAACCACTGAAGCAAAATCATTACTGTAAGGTAATTGCTTGTAACTTTGAGCCCAAATGACAAAATGTCTTAAATCTTTTTCCCAGAGCTATTAACTGCAATTATGTAATTTAAAAATGCTTTTAGTGCTGAGATTTTTGGAGAAATACCTGTTTTTATACTTAAAAACTAAGCACAGGATTTTTTTCCCCCCTAGAGGTATTTTTAATATTTCCTTCTTGACGGTAAAGACAATAAAGCATGTGTTACTTTTATTCCTTTATAGAATCCAGTTACCAGTTTTTAAGGCTTGATGCTGATTTAGCCTATGAAAATATGAAAGTTTAGTTTTTTATCTCAATTTTACCTCTATATCAATTATGATAAATATAACCTTTAATTGTAAACTATAGAATCATCAATTATGTAATTTTCACCATATAGCCTTTCTTAACTGAATATGAATTTCTTCCTTAATGTTGATCTTCTTTTATGTTCTTTGATCTTACTCCTACTTTCAGCATTTTAGATTTGTCTTATGGTCATATGAGAAACCTTGTTTCAATATCTTTTTACAGATTATACAGTGGAGCTTATAAATTGCTGAGCTCTGTTTTCCTAAATTGTAACTTGGGCAACAGATTCAAGAAAATATATGAAGAGATTTTTTTTTTCATGTAGGTTCATATGAACAAGAATGTCCACTCTTTCCTTGGGTGGCATGAGTAGAGAGATGCTGTTTTTCATTATTTTTCTACAAGGTTCGTAGCTCAGTTTGTGAGCCAGTTCTGTACAGCATTGGGAACTTTTTTACACATCCAGCAGTGATTTCTGTGCATTTGGAATAATACCGTTCGAAAGGCAGGATAGGAAAAAGTTAGAGCTTGAAGCTTCACAAGTTTCTGCTTGGAAAGCAGTTCTTTCCTTTACTTTTCATTTTGAAGTTGGCCAAGAATGAAATAACCCTGTTAAGACGATTTTCTCACAGAGGAGAAGCAAATTGATTGTTTTTAAGAAAAAAGTCCAATTCTTTAGAATCTGAGGAGAAGTGAATGCAAATTTCAGCTCCATTAATTACTTTTGATTTTGAAAACCATTATAGTTATGTCACTCTTTTATAGCAAGAATGCTGTCTTCTATGTGCATGCTTTCTACTTGTGATGTCCCTGAAATGGATACCTTTGGTAAGCTCTTAAAGCATGTACATATATTATGAGCTCTTTCCTTAGAGAAACATTTAGAACACCTTCAATATTAAAAACATATTTAATATCTTTGAATAGCTAAGGTAATAGAATGATAAATGTGAACTGTATTTTAAAAGTTGAATTCCATTTCTTTTGGTTATTGATATAGATACAGCCAGAAGAAGAGGACCAGAAACCATTAACTTCATCGAATCCAGTATTAGAACTTGAACTAGCCGAGGAAAAATTACCCATGACTCTTTCTAGGCAAGAGGTAAGTTTATATATGAGTGTTTTGTGAAAAAAAGAAACATCTCCACAGTGTTTGCATTTATCTCCAGTTCTTTCCAATAAGTTATATTATTTCCCATATGAGATGAGTTACTGATCCCAAAATACTGTGCAGTTAGACAGTGTTCTTCATGAGATTCTAAATTAATTTCTGTTTCTTATTATCTTAACTTTTTTTAGAGTATATCCTCTTACACTTTAAAAAATAAACATGTATATTCTAAATAAGTACAATTAAATGCATGTTCTAAATGATTTTACTTAAATTATTATTTCAATTATTTTAAATAATATGTTATTTTGTAACGTACTTTCCTCTCCCTTATTTAATAGTATAGCTTTCCAGATTAAAATAGAGACATACGTAATTTAATGGCTGTATAATTTCCCATTGTTTTCTTGCACCATAATATTTTTAAAACCATCTCTTTGTTGATGGTCATTTAGATTACTTGAGCATTTCTCCATTATAAATAACACTAAGATGAACACCCTTGTACAGAAATCATTACATGTGTAACAATGTATAATTAGTTCCTTTGGAAAATTTTCTAGAGGTATGATTTCTAAGGGCAGACTATGTATATTTTTGAGACTTTTGATACATATTGCTAAATTACTGTATAGACATTAGACGTGTTATACCAGTTTGTACTCCTACCTATACTGTTTGTCCGTACCCTGGTTAGTATTGACTATTATTTTACTTAAAAAAAAACCAACAAAATTTTAAGATATTCATGTTATATAAAGATTTGAAACTATACAGAAGGATATAAAACAAAAATGTCTTCCCTTCTGTCCCTGACACTTTCCCCCTTCCCCATTCCCAATCAATACTCAGTCCTTCTACTATTCAGAGTCATCCGCTTCTAATAGTCTTGTGAATCTTAGAGAAATTTTCCATACTTACACTTGTCTGTATGCAAGTGTGTACTTTTTCTTCCCTTTTACACAAATAAAATTATTTACATGCTTTTATGCCTTGCTTTTTTCACTTACAAATAATAAAAAAATTTTTTTTATTAAATCAAAATTGATTATACATATTTTGGGGGTTCAATGTTGACATATGTTGATCAAATCAATATTACTAGCATATATATTGTTACAGATCATACTTATTCTTTATGCCTCCCTGTCCAATCTTACCCCTGCCCCCTCTAATTACCCTAGATTTCTTTTCTCCTTCTGAAAGAATAATGGTTATTCTGTTGATTTGTTGCCTAGATGATCTGTCCAATGCTGAGAGATGTGATCAGGTCCCCCAATATTATCGTAGAGCAGATGCTTCTTCTGTCACTCTGGAATGGGCTATGTGGAGAGAGACATCTTCTTCTTTATCCCTGCTGGTGACTCTCTTTGTGTCAGTGCACAAAGAGGCTGGCAGACCATCTGCGTGGTGGTTGTGGTGTCTAGCCACTTTCGCGGTGGCCATGCTTATTGTGGTGGCTGTGGTGGGCCACCTACATGGAGGTGATGTTTTTGGCATGCTCCTTGGTGCAGGCAGTGTGCCTGGTTGTGGGAGGGGGGGTGAAGAGAACAGCACTCCTTTAGGTATTGTTTTTAGTACTAGTTTAGTAGTAGTTAAATTAGCCCTTTTCTGGTGCATATTTATTTACAGTTGTTTGCTGTCACAATGCTAAAGTGAATAATCCTTATACATATATTGTGATGTATTTGTATGAATTTATCAATAGGATAATTTCCTAGAAAAAGAATTTCTGGTGAAAAGAATGTCCATTTAATTTTTGATAAATATGTCAAATTGTTCTACAAAGAAGCTTTGCCAATTTACATTCCTGCTATAAGTTTTTAAGAGTACCATTGTCTTAGCAACTCTGTCAACTCATTATTTTAAAATATTTTAGCCTTTGCCAGTCTGAAAGCAGTATTATTATTCTTTTAAATTCTTGCCAAATTAGTCAGTGAAAAAGATATCTTGCAACTTTCTTTTAGTGATTATTAGAATTGAACATGTTTTCATGTGTTTATAGGTCATTAACGTTTCTTCTTTTATGAAACTGGTCTTTTTATTGATTTGTAAATCAACATGTTTATATATTAAATCTATTTTCATAAGTCAGATGTACATAAAGTGCATATTTTTTATTAGTATTTCGTTTGCTTTTGACACACAGAAGTCTTAAATTTTTGTGTGATTGTAATCAGCCTCTTTGTTATGTTTTTTGCCTTGGGTGTCATGCTTATTAGAAGTGTTTCCCCCATCTCCAAGAGTTACAAAATGATATATTAATATTTTTCCACTACCTTTATGAGGTAAATCTTTATAGTTTTCTTTATATTTTAATCAAGTATCTAAACTGAGCATCTCTTAATTTCATAGTTAGAAACATATTTAAAATCTGACATTACTCACATATTTTAGAATTCTGTTACCTTTTGATTTAGAAAAAAAGTTTTATATAATAGAATTTTCTTTATATCTGTCTTTGAAAAATCTGGGTTAAAAAGCAAAATGCTTTTAAGAAGTTGGTCTTTTATGCGATTCAGTATTCAAAAAAAGGATAGGATGTTGTTCTTGGTGGTTTTTATTTATTTATTTTTTAATGTGGATCAGCCTTTATTTTCTTAATTACATTTCTTGTTTCTCTTTTTTATGAAATATAACATGTATACAAAGAGTGTATAAAACATATATGTGCAATATAATGGATAACTACAAAACAAATACCCTTATAACATCACCCAAGTTAGGAAACAGAGTATTATCAGCGCCTCAAAAGCCCTGCATGGGCCCCACCCTGGTCATACTCACTTTCTCTTCTGAGGGAAAAGTTTTTGGTTTTATGGTAGTATTAAAATGCCGACTCTGAATTATCAGCTGACTCCAGATTTTATTTTCCTTCTCTTTATAGATGCTATCATTCCCTCCTGTCTTAGTTTTCCTGAGTGTCCTCCTGCACAGATTGGTCCTTCCTGAAATAGTCAGCCAAAGGACCTAAACTGTTATGGTTATTTAAAGTATGATGATAACACAGTATATCTGTTTGTTACAAATTAAAGAAAAAACAAACACTTTTTGCATTGATGTTTCAAGGCAAGTGTTAGGTTATTTAAAATGTGTTAACATAAGGGATTACTATTGTCTTTTGATGTTTTTTTAAAGAGGCCTAAGAGCAAATACAGTTATGTAAAATGCAGACCAAAAGTATATCCCTTTTCTTATATTCTTAGAAAAAAGGATTTTTTTTTGTCTTACAAAAAAAGGATGGTGTATATTAGAGATTTGCTTTAGATATGAATTGTAGATTTATAAGTCAGACCACTTTATAGCAGCTATTCAGTATTCCAATTTATAACTGACATTTGAGTCAAAATATGTTTTTTACTAAAGTAGCTGATTTTTCTTTCATTCACAAACATCTTTGTTTACTACAATTAAAATGATTAAAATATTTGAAGGATTTTGTATTTCACTCAGAAACGTGTTTGGATAACTAAATTAGCTTTATTAAACTCAGGTTCAATTTTAAGTAAAATATAAAATTGTTTTGAGATGTTTAGTTTTTTCCTCTCAAAAGTTAAATAGTTTGCTAGGCGTCTGTTTCTCTTTATAGGTTATCAGAAGATTGAGAGAAAGAGGAGAACCAATTAGACTATTCGGAGAAACTGATTATGATGCTTTTCAGCGTTTAAGAAAAATAGAGATCCTCACACCAGAAGTTAACAAGGTGAGAAGTCAGAACAAAGCTGGAAAAATACCACTGTACCATGTAAACTAGAATAGTACAGAGTTTGACTAATTGCATTATTATAGGCAAAAATGGAAAAATAAAGTTGGCAGATCACTGTTGGTGAGTGTAAGTTTTTTTAAATTAAAAATAGCACCTGTCTGTCTGAAAGGTACAGTTCAGTGAATTTTGAATTTTGACAGATACATACAAGCATATAATCACTGCCTTTAGAACATTCTTATCACCCAAGAAAGTTCCCCAGTGCCGCCTTAGCCAGTCCCCATTGCTTTCCACCTCTGCTCTTGGGCAACCACCTTTTTGAGTTCTATCATCATAGATATATTTTGCTTGTTCTAGTATTTCATATGGACAGACTCAGTGTGTGCCTCACTTTTGCTCAGTGTAACATTTTTTAGATGCGTCCATGCTGTTGCAGATATCACCAGTTTCCTTTTCATTGCCCAGTGATATATAATTGTATGAATATACCACAGTTGTTTCCAGCTTTAAGCTCTTATGAATAAAACTGCTATCAACATTCTTACACAAATCTTTTTTGGACCTTTGTTATTTCTCTTGGGTAAATATGTTATATCTCTTGGGGAAATACCTAGAAGTGGAATTGCTTAATAACAAGAGTAGATGTATGTTTAACTTTGTAATAAATGCCAGACATTTTCAAATATCAGCGTTTGGTATTGTAAGTTTTTAATTTTAACTATTCTCTCGTATGTGCATTAGTATCTCATTGTAGCCTCATTCACATTTTCCTGGTTACTAAAGATGATGAGCGTTTTTCATGAATACCTTTTCACAGGCTTGTTGTCTTCCTTTGTGCAGTGTATTATATTAAAGTCTTTTGTTTATTTTTTAATTGGATTGTTTGCCTTTTTACTAATGAATCCTAGGCTTTCTTTATATATTCTGTACGTAAGTCCTTGGATATACAGATATGTTTTGTGACTATTCTCTCATAGTCTGTGGCTTAGCTGTTCTCTTAATGGAGTCTTTTGCTGTTTTTCTTTTAAATTTTGATGAGGTCCAATTTGTCAGTTGGTTTTTCCTTTTATGGTTATTGCTTTTTGTGTCCTTCTTAACAAATCTTTGCTTATCCCAAGGTCCTAAAGAGATATTCTTCTGTGTTTCCTTCTAGAAGCTTAATGGTTTTCACTTTTACATTTAAGGCTCTGATTTTGTTTTATGGCTCAGTATGTGGTCTATTCCACGGGCTCTTGTAAAGAGTATGTATTTGCTTTGGCTATATGGTTCTACCAATGTCAGTTACAGTTGTGTTGTTCAGATCTCCTGTGGCCTTATTAGCTTTTTATCTACTTGCTGTCTTAATTACTGAGAGATGGGTGTGGTTATCTATGGCTTTGTAACAGAGCACCCCAAAACTTAGTAGTGTAAAACAATTTATTATTATAAAATCTTTTTTGGTTATCTATGATTGTAACAAGCTTCCCTGAAACCTGGTAGCTTAAGATAATTTATTATTGTCTGTCACATTTCTGTGGTTTGAGTGGGCTAAACTGGGCAGTGTTCTGCTTGGGGTGTTTTATGTGATTGCAGTCAGATGAAGGCTGTGGCTGAGGTCATCTCAAGGCTCCCCTGGACTGCTCTTCTAAGATGGCGCCTTCACTCATAAGCCTGGTGTGTCAGCGTGGGGCTGGCCAGGCACCTTTCTCTCCAAGTATTCTCTGTTTGCCAGCTTGGGCTTCCTCCCTGTTGTTTTCCTTATTTGTTCCTAAACAACTTGCCTGCTTCGTTTCTCAGCACTGCCATTTCAGCTGTACGTGACTGACTGTTGCCTGAACACTTTCAGTCCTCTATGTCTATAATGGTCATTTTTCCTGTCCTGCTGTGTTTCTCTCTTATATGCCTTGGTGGAAATACTTGTCTTTTTATTTTTATTTTTATTTTTATTTATTTATTTATTTGCTGTGTTTCTCTCTTATATGCCTTGGTGGAAATACTTGTCTTTTTATTTTTATTTTTATTTATTTATTTATTTTTTTGTCTTTTTCCGTGTCCGGCAACGGATGAAGTGAATGTTACCACTGCACGGGAGTGTGTTATGCAAATAAAACCGTGTGACCAATGTGAACCTGGCCATGGAATTGATCTTCTTACCTCAGCAGGAAATTTTCTAAATACTCTGTCATGTTGAACTAGCGGCTGTCAATCCTGTGTACACAGTGGAACTACCTTGGGGTGTGTGTGTGTGTGTCTGTGTGTGTGTGTTTAATGCCAGTGTCCTACACTTAGTGTCTGACTAATTGTACTGGAGCCCCATTTTTTGAAAAGCTTCCTTGTGATTCCATTGTGAGGTCAAATTCAGAGTTACACTTGAAGGAGCAAGAGCAGATAAATAAATAAATAAATATTTATTTATTTATTTAACTTACCTAAGTGCTGCCAAATTGCTCCCTGGAATGGCTGTTTCTGTCTGCACCTCCTCCTGCAGTTTGTGGGGGTCTTGTATTATTACAGTCCTGCCAGCACTTGGCAATATCTTGCTTTCTAATTTTTGCCACAGTGTTGAATGTGGGATGATATGTATAATTTTAAAAAAGCAATGTTGTATCATGTAAGTATCTAGCATGTGGGAAAAAAATGGCTTAGTTTAAAGTTCTTAATGCTTAATGAAAACACAAGCTGGTTTTTTTTGTTTGTTTCCTTTAATTCCTGGCTCTTGCACATGTAGCCTTCTGTACATGTGAGATCATAGTTGAGGAAGATGTCATTTTAATCTCTTCCCTTTCCCAACACTTATCTGTGGTCCCTAAAGTTTACTAAAGTAATTGGTATGGGCAGCTAGTTGCGTGCTTTTAATTGGCATGGGCAACCAGTTGTGGGCTTTTTTCTTTTTCTTCTTTTTAAAACAGCTTTATTGAAATATTCACATTACATTTAATTTACCCATTTAACGTGTACAATTCAGTGGTTTTAGTATATTTACAGGATAGTGCAACCATCTTCACAATCTAATTTTGGAACATTTTTGTTCCTCTGAAAAGAAATCTCATATTCATTAGCAGTCACTTCCCTCACCTCCTCTTATCTTTTGATTCATAAAAGATAACATGCTCCCTAAATTTATTTTAAATGGTAAATCAATGATTTTTTTTTAAGCTTATCTAGAAATTCCATTGGGTTTTTAAATGAAAATTGAACAGTATATGAGACAAAGAGCCACGTTGAGACTGGTGTTGATCATGTACATATTCACTAATGAACAGAAGCATTGTTTCTGTTTCTGCAGGCACTGGGGGAGTCTTTAGGGAAAGGCGATGATCATAAAGACATGGACATCATCACCAAATTCCTGAAGGTGTGTATCTTAGGCTAGGCAAAGAGGGCGTTTTGGTTGCTTATATTTTTGGATTATCAAGGATTAAAGGCTGGAAAGACAAGCCTTCAGTAAACATTTCTAACACATATACTATGTTTATGATATTGCTATGCACTTGGTTATATATATAGTGGTTGTATTAGGCCATTTCTGCTGCTTACAACCAAATACATGGGACTGAGTGATTTATAAAGAAAACAAAGTGTGTTGCATACAGTTTCTGAGTCTGGGAAGTCCAAACTCCAGGGAACATAGCTGGTAAAGGCCTTGGTGGTGGCAACAGTGATAGCAGGGTACCACGTTGTGAAAATGGTGGAGCAGAGAGAGAGACTAACCTCCTCATTCATTCTCATTTTAAAGCCCTACAAACCATGCCCATGACCACCATTTTTAATCCATTCACTATGGCGTGGTCCTACAATCTAATCAACTCTTCAAGGTCCCACCTTCCAATTACTATAATAGAATTTCCGACCCTCTTAACAGTCACAGTGGGGGCCAAGTTTCTAGTACATAAAACTTAGGGGACACAATTCAAGCCACAGTGAGTTTAGGGGGGACATTCAATCCACTACAGCGGTTAATTGAAGAAGGCATGTATTTACTTTCCTCACGGTACTTTTCTTTATAGCTGACTTCTTAATGTAACACAGAAAATAATCACAGTAGCAGAATGACCAAGAAGTTTGAGGGAGTTTCAAATTTTTTTAAAACACTCAAGGAAGCAGTGTAACGGAGGATTCTAGATGCTTTTATGAAAGGTTGATGGTAGTAATCATCAATCAAGACATTTACTTTAAGGTTGGCCGGTTATCTCAGTTGGTTAGAGTGCAGTGTTACAATACCAAGGTCAAGGGTTTAGTTCCCAGGATCCCTTTACTGGCCAGTAAAAGTAAAAAGCCAGTGAAAGTAAAATAAAAAGACATTTTCTTTAAGGCCGTTAGTCTGCTGTTTTGTATTAGAGAGCTTTTACACTTCCTGAACCACTGGGTGGCATTGTAGACTAAATCTACCCATTCTTTCAACAGTTTCTTCTTGGTGTTTGGGCTAAAGAATTGAATGCCAGAGAAGATTATGTGAAACGCAGCGTGCAGGGTAAACTGAACAGTGCTACTCAGAAACAGACTGAGTCCTATCTCAGACCACTTTTCAGGAAGCTACGGAAAAGGGTGAGGTTTCTTGGAAAATGCTTTTATTAACTGACTTTTAAAAATAGAATATATAGATTTAGAATAAGTGCAGTCTGCTTTTTACTACACATAGTAGCTTCAAAAGTTAGTTATGCTTTTTTTTTCTTTTCCAGAATCTTCCTGCTGATATTAAAGAATCAATAACAGATATTATTAAATTCATGTTGCAGAGAGAATATGTGAAGGTACGTTGCCCTGTCATGCATTGAAATTGTTATGAGTATATCTAGATTTTGTACGTAATATAATGTTCATTTGGGATGGGGAGATTTTACACAGTAGATTTAAGAAATGAGCTAGTAATAAAAAACAGTTTTCTGTTGTATTGCCAGCTTTATTATCAGGAATTGCATAACAAAGCTTCAACCACAACTATTTTCTCAGTCATATTTAAAGTAGGTCTCAAGTAGAAATATATATAGTCAGTGTTCACTTTATGAATGGGATTGAATTTTGAAGTTTATAAATGGCTGATTATGGCTTGGAACAAATTTTCCCGTAGAAAGAATGTTATATAGATTAGTTTCCCAGGCCAGCTATAAAAGCCTATTTAATCTATAATATAGCTGAACTGTCATATCAACGATACAATGGAACTTAACCACTCTTTGTAATTTGTTTCTGTGGGAAAATGTGCAAGTAAGGATGCCAGGATTCTTCTCTCCCGTTTTAGTACTGCAGCAATAGCAGACCCTGTGCAGGGAAAGATTTCTCCCTCGCTCTGGTGTCGTTCCTCCTGAATGGGAGCTGGGAGGAGGTGGCAGAGGGAAAGAGCTCAGGTGTCTAGGGCTCCTGGGTTAGAGTTTAGAAAGGGAAGAGTAGAGGGCTGTCAGTCAGTAGACGGGAACAGGAGAGAAGGGCCAGTGCACAGTATTGGGTAGTAGAGATAGAACAGAGTTTGAAGAGGGAGGCTTGTAGTGGCTGTGCCTGCCAGGAAACTAAGAGTAGAGAATTTCAGTGCAGCAGTCCCAGTGACAATGCCAGAGTGGTAGAAAAATGGGAATGACATTGCTTTTCCGGTGCTGTGAGAATCTGTACTCCTAAGAAGGGACTGCTGGCATTCCTGGGTGACTGAGTGGAGCTTTAGGCTGATGAGGCCAACATAGCGATTTTACTCCCTGTAAAAGCAATTAGTCTTCTCAAAATATTTTTGCTTTATGGTTATGCATTTCATTCTTAGTTTCTATCAGTTGCATGATTGTTACTAATGATGATTGTACTGGGATGGATGGATAAGGTCACCGTCACTGCAGAAAGAATTCAAATCACCTTCCTGCTAGAGAGGATGCCTTTCCTCTTGTTACTTTTTCTCATGATCATAACCAGGTGAAAGCTTATTTTGTATTAACTACAGAAAGAACCGAGAAACTTTAATAACCTGTGAGGACAGTTTTCTTTGGAATGTGGGGGAAACCAAACATTAGAATTTTTAGTTAAGGTCCAATGTTAAAATTTACGTAACTACAGAAAGAACCGAGAAACTTTAATAACCTGTGAGGACAGTTTTCTTTGGAATGTGGCGGAAACCAAACATTAGAATTTTTAGTTAAGGTCCAATGTTAAAATTTACGTACATGAGAATTAGTGATAAAAATGTGCATATGCCCTTTTAAAATTAAGCTTTCTAAAATCTGTTGATCAGAGCAAGTTTAAATTTTATCTTCAGGGTAGAAAATGATCTTCTAGTTAATCTATTTGTAGTACCTGATTTTTTCTTAATCACCTCTACATATCAATGACATAGGTGTTTGATTTTTGAAATTAAAATCTCCTTTTAAGCTTGTCTGAAACTCTCTAGGTTTTTTAGAATTTACTTGCTTTCTGTTTTGTTTTTTCCCTTTCTTCCTCATAGCTAGTTAGGCTTGGCTAAGAAAAAGAGCCATTTGTCTTCACTGGTGTCTGTCTTCACTTTTTGTAGCTTTTGCTTTAAGATTCTTGGCAGGTGGGAAATTTGGGGGGCCAAAGTGAACAGATCTCATCTTTCACTATGTGACTCGAGGGTCAGTGTTTAATCTCTGTTTACACATCTGTTACGGACCCTATGTATAATCCCAGCACATTGAACCCCCACTGCTCTCGGAGATCTGCAGTGCTGTGCAGGGACTGGATATAGTTTCAGGTTGGGTTATGAAAAACTAGTTAGCCTCTATCTTCTATATGACCACCTATTGAGAAGACTGAGTCTAAAGGAGACCCAAACTAGAATCTCTGGCAGTGTATCAAATTACCTACCCACTAATTCCAGATCTGAAACGTATTGATTTCCAGTGCACAAAGGCTGCACTGGAATGTTTGTCTTTTTTACTCATAACCTTAGCTTTGGTTTCTGTTTTTCCATGGACATTTGTGGTCCTGGGCAGAGTAGTGAGTCACCAAATATTTTAATCACTTTTGTTTGAATAATGGGAATGGTAATATTTTCAACATTCTCAAGAGGTGGATAAAAATGGTGTCATAAGTAGCTGTGAAATACTTGAAATACAAAATTTGAACCAACACAATATTTTGCCTTTCTGATCACTTCTTAAACTTTCAGGCAAATGACGCTTATCTTCAGATGGCCATTGGAAATGCGCCTTGGCCTATTGGTGTCACTATGGTTGGTATCCATGCCAGAACTGGCCGGGAAAAGATTTTTTCCAAGCATGTTGCACATGTTTTAAATGATGAAACTCAGCGGAAATATATTCAGGTAAGCAGTTTGGAAGGATACCAATTGCTCTGGAGGTTTATCATTCTCCAGTTCCCCAAACTGTAAGTCTTGAGAGCAGACAAAGAATTACAGTAAATAGGACATAGCATGACAGGGTGCAAGTCAACTCTTGATAAGCACTTGTATTCAAGATGCCTTCACTGAATAAAATAAAGCCTTTTAACTTTCACATATGATGGAAGACAGGGTGAAGTGGTGTGCTTTAATTACCTTAGCACTGGATGAAGCTACTGCAGTTTGCTTTTTTTTTTTTTTTTCCTTTTTTGTCTTTTTTACTGACTGGTAACGGGATCGCAACCCTCGGGGTTGCGCCTGCACCTCGCTCAGCCAGTGAGCAGGAACCGGTCTCCACATGGAATCCGAACCCTCGGTGGGAGCGCCGCCACACTCCCAAGCGGCGCACTCTCCAGTGCACCACTGGGCCGGCCCTGCAGTTTGCTTTTTTTAAAGACATATGTACATTTGTCCCTCGGAATCCATGGGGCATTGGTTCCAGGATTTTTCCCAAGGATACCAAAACCCGAGGATGGTCAAGCCCCTGATATAAAATGTATATAAAATGATATAAAATGTATTTGCATATAATGTATGTCATTTGTCCCTCGGAATCCATGGGGCATTGGTTCCAGGATTTTTCCCAAGGATACCAAAACCTGAGGATGGTCAAGCCCCTGATATAAAATGTATATAAAATGATATAAAATGTATTTGCATATAATGTATGCACAACCTCCTGAATACTTTAAATCATCTCTAGATTACTTATAATATCTAATACAATGTAAATGCTATGTAAATAGTTGTCATACTGCATTGTTTAGGGAATAATGACAGGAAAAAAAAAGTCTGTGCGTGTTCAGTACAAATGCACTGTTTTTTCCCCAAATATTTTCGATCTGCTGTTGGTTGAATCCACAAGTACGGAACTCATGATACAGGGGGCCAGTTGGTAAGTAGAACTTGAGCTCATTGGAGAAATTTGGTAGTTTAGTGAAGAACAACACATTTGGTGTATTTTACAGTAAATCCTCTGTTACTTTCAAGATCTAATACCGACTAGGGTAAAAAGGTATGGAGAGTAAAGACTTGGCTTTAATGCATATAATCATTTTTAAGTAGCATATAGCAACACTTCTCTAGTTACATGAATAGGTTGAAAATGTTTATTGTTTATTTTCTTAAAGTTACACATGCCTCACATAAACTTGTTTTTATGGTTATTGGCCAAACTTTTCTCCTTAGTGGGAAAAAAAATCAACTATAATCTAGCTTTTGCCAAATTGTCATAAATCCCAGATTTATGTGTCTGTATAATGACTTTTACTACATGATAATTCTAAAACTTGAAGATGATACTCTGGAAGTTTACTTAAAATGCATAAAGTGCTTTCAGATTTTGTGCCAAAAGTAGTCATTACCATATTCATGAATTATCTTTTTGTTTGTATTTCAGTTCCAAGTGCTGAATGTTAATTTGTGTTATGCTTTATGCCTTATTCACATATATTAGCATTTTAAAATATGATTTCAACCTCACTCTCTAATGTGAACCATAGACTTTATAGAGTTCAAACGTACTTGTGGAAATTCAATCACATTTCCATTTCTTGATAACCGGCAGTGACTGTATTAAAGGTAAAAGATTTTAGTTGAAAAAATAAAGTTGTTTGGCTTTACCAATAGGAGACAGTTTCCAAGGATTGTATTAAATTTGCTAATTTTGTTCACTTATACCATGGCATAAAGCCCTAGTGTTTTAAAGTTCATATAATTAGATAAATTGTCTTAAAGGCAGTATTACATTTTGTTAACAGTGGTATGATTTCCATCTCCCAATAGACTAATTTTATTTTTTAAAGTATATCTAGCATTTATTTAAGAAGATTCTGGTTTATTTTGGAAGCTGTGTAATGATCTGTCCTCCTTCCATTGTTCTTCCTTCTTAATTATTATCTTCTCATTTAAAAGAATTTTCCATTTCCCCCCAAGGCGATTAGGGAAAATAGGTGAGCATACTATATCTGAAATTTGGGAAGATATTTGGTGTAGACCCAATAATATTCTTGTGGATAGATAGCTCATTGAACAAGGGAAACCATGGAGCACTGAATAATGGAGCCGTGTCTCTTTGAGTGGATGCTGATAACATGTTATAGGATTCTTAGTGACATCAATACTGTCCTGCTCAACATTTTTATGTCTGACTTGGATGGCTATACAGAGAGAGGTTTATTAGATTTGCAGACAGGAAACTAGAAGGGACAAGATGTAAAAGTGGAAAAGAAATTGACATTCCAGAAATTCTTGACAGAGTGGGGAGAAGGGCAGATTCTAAAAATATAGTATTTTGCAAGGATGACCATAAGAAAATTTGGATCCAGTAACCCACCTGCTGAAGTATACAATATGAGCAGTGGATATAAGAAAGAATTAGGGAACTTAGTGGATCAAATTTAGTGCAATAAAATTTAGTTTTAATGATATACTTGTATGAAAAGAATTCCTGTAGACAGTATTGAAGTATTGGCCTTTTTATGCATGACTACAGATGTTAGTTAAAAGTGTGGAAATTAACTTTTAAGCATTAAGTACACATTCTTTGAGCATCACATTTCAGGTCAAATGAACATGCCTTTAGTCTGAAGTTAGGATTAATTTTTAACTTAAGTATTGCATGCTAATTTGCTCCTTTATTAGAACTTTATCAGTTCATGACAGAATTTTAAATAGCTAGGTAGAAAATGTCACTTTACTTATCCCTTATTCTTTACATTCTTAGGACGTACCACTAAATGGATTTGTGCCTTCATCTTTAATTTTGTCTTATAGTGTAGACTAGTGACAGGTACAGAAAAAATTGATTTAATAAAGTGTGTTCTTTATACTTGAATAAAAATATTACTTACAAACAAACAAAAAATCTTCCTCAGGTTTTATTATTAACTAATGATATAAAAGAAAAGGCAGATCTAGGTAAAGAGTTGTAACATAGCTTGGTTTGGTTTTTGAAAGTTTGTGTTTTCTGCAATAATAAAAAAAAACTATTGCTAATCTTTTCAGTAGATGCAGGTTGATTGTTTTTTTTTTTTTTTTTTTTCCTTTTTGTCTTTTT